GAGTGGGCCTGATGACCTTCGCCCTGACAGAAAGCCAGGAAATGGGAAGACCCCTGAGCCTGGGAAGGTAGAGTCAGAGTGGGCCTGATGACCTTTGCCCTGACAAAGGGCCCCAAGGAAATTTGCCCAGCATGCCACATAATAGCTACTTTACAATGTGCAGCCAAGAGTTTGGATGGTAGAAGTCTTTCATATGGGCCAGCAAGGTGGCTCAGAGGGTAAAGGTGCTTGCCTGACAACCCAAGTGATAGAAGGGGGGAACTGACTCTTACAAGCTGTCCTCTGACCTCCACAGACATGCTGCGGTGTGTGCATGTACAGACGTGCACATGTACACATACATACAGTAGCACAAATACAATAAATACAGCAAATTTTTATATTGGATTTTCTGATGTTAAAAAAAATCTTCCATGCAGACCCATCTAGTGGCATAATGTTCCTGTGACTTTCAAGAAGACGCAAACTACCAAACACTGGTGCTGGTTTCTATGGTGCAGATGCCCCACACCATGGCTAATTTCATGTACCCTCAGCTTGTGAAATTCCTGAAAACCCACATTGATCCTCGGCTTTCTCTAGTACAAAACAACAAATAGTAGAATTATCACAAAATTAACTAAGTTTTAGAAAGTTTCATCTTTATGTGCCTGAGAAGGTGGTTCCTGCAGCATGCTGGTGGGTCGGAGTTGCTTCCTCTGTCCACTGTCAGAAGTGGAGTGCTTGAGATTTTTTTACTTTTGTAAGCAGCATCCCTAGGATAGAGCTGTCCGTTAGAATCCCTGCAATGTTAGAATCACATGCATTCCAAGAGCACTTTGGGATCCTGGTACCAGGGGCCAACAGGAAGACGAAGGAAGCCAAGTAGAGCCAGCTCTTTTAATACTAACAGTTTGACACACACCACTTTTCTTTCCTTTTTTTTTTTTTTTTTTTTTTTAGACAGGGTTTCTCTGTGTAGCTTTGGAGCCTTTCCTGGAACTTACTCGGTAGCCCAGGCTGGCCTCGAACTCACAGAGATCCACCTGGCTCTGCCTCCCCAGTGCTGGGATTAAAGGTGTGCGCCACCAACGCCCCACTTGACACAACCACTTTTCAAATGAGTTCTGTTGCCTACAAATAAATTTGAGCCAGGCAGTGGTAGTGCACACCTTTAATGCCAGCACTCGGGAGGCAGAGCCAGGCAGATCTCTGTGAGTTTGAGGACAGCCTGGACTATGGAGTGAGTTCCAGGAAAGGCGCAAAGCTACACAGAGAAACCCTGTCTGGAAAAACCTAGGCAAACAAACAAATAAACAAATAAATAAATTTGAGCCAGATGTAGTGGTACATGCCTTTAATCCCAACACTTGGGAAACTGGGAAACAGGGGCAGGCGGATCTCTGTGGGTCAGAGGCCAGCCTGTGTTACACATTAGTTCTAGGCCAGCTGGGACTGCATAGTGATACCCTGCCTCAAAAATAAATAAATAAATAAATAAATAAATAAATAAATAAGTAAATAAGTAAATAAGTAAATACATAAACAGATAAATCTGAATAGTAGCCAGATGTAGTGGTACACACCTGTAACTACAGAACTTGGAATATTGGGGATTTTGAGTTCAAGGCCAGTCTAGACTACAGAAAACCTGTTTCCTTGCTCTCCACCACCACAGTGTTTGAAGCCCAGTCCACTTTTGCTGCCCCAGAATTTACATAGTGTCGTATACATGTCTTACAAACAGCCTTACGTGGTTTTGGCAGAATGACTTGGACATTGCAAACCAGTGTCACCGAGGACCAGAGAGGAAGCGCTGTGACCTTAAAAGGGATGTTTGGCTTTCTTCAGAATCATTTCTAGCCCCATTTTAAGCAAAACTAAATTGATCATTTTGTCACATGCTAAAAAGGCTAGAGCTGCCTGTGCCAGACAGAGTCCTGACAATGAGGGGCTGGCAAGGTAACTTCTCTCTCAAAGGAACCCCTTTCATAACAAGGCAAAGCCATCCCTAGACCTCATTCCTAATCCTTTTCTCCAAAGTGACACCACAGTTCTGGAAATCCTTCCTGACATCACCACTCTACAAACCCAAGGGTTGCTACATCAAGTGTAGAACTTTTGTAGGCACTGAATTCAGCATACAGACTTTTCTCTAATTACAACATAAACGATGTGATTTGATTTTATTGGAGATAGGATCTCACTATGTGTAGCCCAGGCAATCCTCCTGTCTCAGCCTCTAGAGTGCTGGGATCATAGGCATGTACATTACACCCAGACAAAGACAAAATTTTAAACTTAAGTCTTTGAGACTAGAACTGAGGATGTGGCTCCAGTAGGCAACAAGCTTTCCTAGCATGCATGACACCCTGGGCTCTGTCCCCACACGGCACAAACTGGGTATAACGGCACACTGCTCTAATCCCAGCCCTCAGGAGGGTCAAAGTTCAGGATCGCCTTACCTATATAGTGAGTTTGAGGCAAATCTGGACTACACAAGACCCTGTGTCCAAAAAAGAAAAAAAAAACAAAAAAAAAAAAAACGAGTCTGGAGATTTGGCTCAGCTGTCAAGAACACTTGTCCTTGCAGAGGACCCGGGTTCAATTCCCAGCACCCACATGGCGGCTCACAACCCTCCATAGCTCCCATTTCAGGGGATCTGACACTATCTTCTGACATCTGTAGACACAAAAAGCAAGCCATGGCACATATATACATGCAGGCAAAACATTCATACACATAAATCTAAAAACATTTTTTAAATTTCACCTTAAATTTTAATTTAAATTAAAAATTAAAATTTTTAATTAAACTTTTCAATTTTTTATTTGAGATGTAATCCTGTGCTCAGAATATTATTAGAGTGGATATTGGAAAGAGCATGGAGACGGTAATGCCCGAACCAGGGCAGCACATGAGCCCTGGAGACACATCGTCCCCAAGGCCAGGACAGTCTGCGCCTTCTCCAGTCCTTTCCCTTTTCCTACAGACCAGGTGCCTGAGCCTTTGGCACTTTCTGAAAGGAGTAGAAAAGATCAGACTGCATCCTGAGCCACACCCTGAGAAAATACGTGTCCTTGGGGTGCTCTGGCTAGCTGAGTAGAGAGGAAAGATCCCCTAGCCCACGCAGCAGGTGGTACACGGGGGTCTGGGTTACCTGATGTTCTGAATGCGACAGTCCTTCCCACTCAGCACACTGCCCAGCAATTCCATCACAGGGTCCTGGAACTGGTTGTTGTCCAGCCTGGCCAGGGGAAGCCATGACAATGAGTAGTCCTGCAGCCCATGAGAGGGTGAGGCCTCCACCGCCTCTCATTCCCACTGTGATCCGTGCTTCAGCTCGGAACTCCAGACTCGGTGCACTCACAGCGCTCAGACTTCCCTGTGGGAGTAACTGAGGTGGTTCCCGGGAGCTGTGCTCTTCCTCTTGGTGGCATCTTACAGTGTTGTCACACAGTTCTGACACCATGGGCCTGTGCAACACCCTTGGCTAGGTTTACTTCTGAGGATGCCAAAACCACTCTCGGGTCCTGATTGGCCCACGTCCTACATCTTTTCCTCTTTGCTTGCTAAGTTCAGAGTATGGCTGAGGGTGTGGCTTCTGTCAACACTGGCTGTGTGTGTGTGTGTGTGTGTGTGTGTGTGTGTATACACACATGTATATATATAAAATCTTGCTATGTAGCCCAGGTTGTCCTGGACTCAGTAATCTTCCTATCTTAGCCTCTTATTGCTGGGGTTACAGGGATGAGTCACACTGCTTGGTTCTCGGGGGTCTCCTGAGTTGGATTTGTATAGCCATGTTGAAATTCTAACCTTGCTGTCTCCAGAATGCAGCCTCATCTGGAGGTGAGCTCACTGCAGACGGACTAGCCAGGAGGCTATCACACTGACACAGGGCGGCCCTAGGCTCCGACATGATGATGTGCTTATAGGGAAAGTGAGTGTCTGTCACAGAGACCCAGGAGCAGTGGCCAGATGACAGTGCGGGACATCAAAGACTGCTGGCCCCCGAGCGCTCCCGAGCCAGGAAGGGCCCTCCTGCCAAGGTTTCAGAGGGAGCACTGCCCATGCCCTTGACCTCAGACCTCTGGCTCCAGAACTAAATCCATTGCCGGGATGGTTCTGCACCCAGCTGTGGCACTTTGCTAGAGCAGTCTCAGCAGACTACCGGGAAGGGGCGTGATGAAACAAGGAACCATGTGGAGTCTTCCTCCTTTGCCCTTCCTCCTCCCTGCATGGACCCCATCCTCACCTGAGGCTCCGGCAATAGAGCAGTTGGGGCAGCAGGCTCTGGAGGACACTCTGGCTGAGACACAGGGACAAGCTGGCCTCCCGGGAGCAGATCTCAGACAGTTGCAGGAGGTAGGCCAGAGCAGTGCGATGCGGGGGGCCGCTGAGCCCAGCCAAGGTCCCACTCTGCATGGCCTCCTTCACACTGCAGGCCAGTTCTGTGTGCTGCAGCTCGTGCAGGCAGTACAGGACATTGACGGCTCGCGCACAGACTGCAATGTCAGGACGCAGCAAGCCCTGCAGGGCCTCGGCCGCCTGGGCCCGGTAGCTCTGGTGCTCGCCTTGGGCCAGCAGGGAGCCGGCCAGCAGAGCATTGACCCTTGGAGACAGGAGGCCAGAGAGGAAACGCAGGAACACATCCAGCCTCCCATCCTTAGCTTGTGTGGCCCGCTGGGCTGCACACCTGAAATGCGCGAGGAAACCCAGCCTGGGCCAAGACATGCCGCTCTCGGTGAAGAGGTCAAAGATGGCTCTCTTGGATGCACTGTAGTAATATATGGCTGCCACAAATTCTTGCAGAGACAGGTGAGTGAAGCAATAAGCTGCCGAGGAGGCCAGAGTGTCTTCCCGTTGCAGGAGACAGCTGCACAGCGCGCTCTGCAACAATGCGAGGTCCACACCAAATGCCTTCATGTCTTGCTCATAAAACACGTACTTCTTCTTGACCAGCCCATGGAAGGCCAGGCGGCCCAATGTCGCCACCATTTTGCGAGCTCCCTGGGCCACCTGCTCAATCCTAGGACTTACCTTTCCCTTGTCCTGCCCCTCCCCACCAAGGGCCATCCTAAAGTACCAAGAGTAGAGCTCACACAGGGTCTGAGGCAGCGGCGGCTCTGGGTCCGGGACAGGCAGCGTGCTGTGGTACAAGTGACCCAGGGCCAGCCCCGTGAGCCTACAAAAGGCTGGCACAGTGCACATCAGGTACAGAGCCCTGTTGGCCTTTACCTGACTCAACACCTGGCCTAAGAGGGTCGGGTCCTCAGGAAATATCTGCTCCAGACACATTTTGATCTCTTCCTCAGTAAGGCCCCGAATCTCAGTCATCCGGTCCACGAGGCCCCCAGGGACCTGACCAGCAGCACTGGGACGGGAGGTGATCCAGACAGAAATTTCTGGAAAGAGGTTGCCTCGGATGATGTTAGTGATCAGGTGGTCTACCTGGATCTCCTTCTTTGGGTCTGTGCAGGCCACGGTATTGGAGAATTCCAGGGGTGTCTTACACTCATCCAAGCCATCCAGGACCAGGAGGACTCTGTCTGGGGCTGTTACCACCAGATTACTGTCTCCAATGTTTGGGAAGATGGAGTGGATGAGTTTGTCCGCAGACAGCTTCTCATAGGCATTAAGATCCCGAAAGGTCAAGGGCAGAACCAGTGAGAAATTCTTGCCCACTTGTCCTCTGGCCCAGCAACGAATGAAATGCCTCACGAGAGTAGTCTTGCCGATGCCGGCCACTCCAATGGTGACAGAGACTCGAGGTGGGATGGACACCCGGGACAGAGGCAGGAAGAGCCTATCCAGGGTGATGGCCCTGGCAGAGTGCCAGACCCCCCGTGTGGCCTCCACCTGTGTGAAGTCATGTTCCCTGAGCTGCAGGTCTGTCAGGCCCTCTACCAGCAGGAGGCTGGCCAGGCGGTGTGAGGGACTGCCCAGTTCTGGGTCATTTCCCACCCTGCTCAGCAGGGCCTCACAGTGCCTCCGTATCCTTGAGTCTGCCGGACACAGGACAAAAGGTAAGGTCCCAGGGCAAGGTGGGAGGGTTCAGGTACCCCCTCCTCCCACCCCGTGGAAGACTTACCATTGCTTTGGGATCCCAGGGGGGAGTCTGGCATTTTGTTAGGGGCCTGTGGTACCCGACAGCCCTTCCCAGCCAGCAGATCCACAAGGGCCTTCACCTGCTCCCCTGGGGAGCCAGCACTGGAGGCCAGGCATGTCTCTCCATCAGTCCTCAGCTCTTGCTTCCTCATGGAGTCTGAGACTGCAGCCAGGAGCTGTGAGGACTGATTCCAGACTGCTGCCTGTGGACCTCTGTTGTTTCCTAGCCAGGAAAACTAATCACAGAGATGTAGGGCCAAGAGAGCAAGACTGGGAGGTCTGGACTCGGACGCTGGCTCTGCCACTGGGTGACCCCGGGCAGGCTGTGCCCTCTCTCTACACCGTGGTTTCCTCATTCGTGACCTGGCAACAGTGATGCTGTTATAAGCAAGGAACCCAGCAGGAGGCAGGCGGGAAGCAGCCAGTCTGGGAGGGCAGCAGTCAGGTTTCCATCTGGTTACCCTGCGAAAGACAAAAGAATGGACATGGAAAGATGGTGGTGAGGTTGGTGGGTGCCAGGGCTGAGGACACGGAGGCAGGGCCGGCGTTCCGTGTGATACTGTCATGGCATCTGGGTGTCACTGTGTGTGTGTAAGTGGGGACCCTTGTGTGACTGGGCTGCTGGTGATCGTGTGCCAGCTAAGAACGCGAGGCCGCTCACTCTAACAAACGTAGCCATTTGTTAACAAACACTGTTAGGGGATGTGGAGGGTGGAGTCTGTTGGGACAGGCAGAAGTACGCGGGAACTCCATACTTAATCAGCCTTCTTCCACAAGCCTGAAACTACTCTTTTTTTTTTTTTTTTTTAAATTATAAATGCTCAGCCAGTAGTTCAGGCTTATTGCTAACTAACTCTTACACTTAAATTAATGCATAATTCTTGTCTATGTTTAGCCATGTGGCTTGATAGCTTTTCTCAGTACAGCATTCTCATCTTGATTCCTCTGCCTCTGGCTGGTGGTGACTCCTGACTCTACTCTTCCTCTTCCCAGCATCCTTAGTTTGGTCTCCATGGCTACACTTCCTACTGGTTACTGGCCAATCAGCGTTTTATTAAACCAATTCGAGTGACAAATCCTAAAACTACTCTTAAAAGTAGGATTTTACTTTTTCAAAAAGGAAAGGGAGCCGGGCGGTGGTGGCACACGCCTTTAATCCCAGCACTTGGGAGGCAGAGGCAGGTGGATCTCTGTGAGTTCAAGGCCAGCCTGGTCTACAGAGCAAGATTCAGGACAGGCTCCAAACTACACAGAGAAACCCTGTCTCAGGAAAAAAAAAGGGGGGGAAAGGGAAGGAGAGGAAAGGGAAGGCCCACGACTCCCAGAGCAGTAACACAGTGATGTCTCAGCTTTCCCGCCTTCCTGGAGCTCAGGGGCCCTGGGCCTGTAGGAAGCACCATTTGCTGCTGAGGACAGAGGTACAGAGACGGCCAGAGGTAAAGCCGCTCCACATCCCACCCTTTGGCCAAAGCCACTGCTTCTTTGAAGCTCTCCTACAGTCCGTCCCATTTATGTCCTCCCCTCAGGCACAGGGGCCACAGCAGTCCCATATGGACTCTCAGGTAGAGACCAGTCACCCATTGTTGACAGTTCTAGAAGAGAGACAATAATGGAGGAGGGGTCAGCAGAGGTCGTGGTCCACTACTGCTGGCAGCGGACCTGTTAAGATCGATCCTGGTGTCATCACTGCCAAGAATCTGGCGAGTCCTGGCTGCCCTGGGTGTGGCAGCCCTGGTTCTCTGGTGCGGTGGTTGGTTAACTGAAGAGGAGGTTGCTGTCAATGGACTCCTGGTTTTGAAATTGCACTGGGGATTGGCGTCAGTTTAACTTGGCATGAACATTTTCAGACAGAAAATGCTGAAGTTTAGCAGTAAGAAAAACAACCATTCTGATCATAACCATGTTGGAGAGTCCATAAATGCAACGCATTTAAGGTTAAGTTGAACGAGCTGGACTAACCTGGGAATGCCGAGGCCAGCTGGGACGAGGCCACTCTCTCTCCACTCCTGCACAATCCTGCTGCCTTTTGCTCTTTTGGTTCCCAAAATGTTCAAACCAAGGGGGAAAGCAAGTGCGATTACAATCGATGCTGTGATATGCTTGGATTCGTGCTCATATTTAGATACTTTATAGATTATCTAGTAAACCTTATTTCTCATTTACAGCTTAGAAAAATAACAGCTTTTTACTTGATTTTTGTTGTTGTTGTTGTTGTTTTTCTTTTTTGATTTTTCGAGACAGGGTTTCTCTGTGTAGCTTTGCGCCTTTTCTGGAACTCACTTGGTAGTCCAGGCTGGCCTTGAACTCACAGAGATCCGCCTGGCTCTGCCTCCCGAGTGCTGGGATTAAAGGCGTGCGCCACCACCGCCCGGCCAGCTTTTTACTTGAATCTAAGCATTTGTAAAATAGTTTTTGTTGGCCTGGAGAGATGGCTCAGTGGTTAAGAGCACTAGCTGCTCTTCCAGAGGACCCCAACACCCACATGGTGGCTTACAGCCGTCTATAACCCCAGTTCCAAGGGGGAACACCCTCTTCTGACCTCTGCAAACATCAGGCATGAAAGTGGTACACAGATGCACATTCAGACAAAGCACCCAAACATATAAAATAAAACAGGTTTTGTTGTCATTCTGAATATTGTTGGTATAAAAGATGACTAATTTTTGTATCTCATCATATTTCAAGGAATTAAGCATTTTTTGTTGACTCAATAGTTTTCTTCAACCTTTCAGATTTTCAGTAGGGTCCTCTGCATATATGTCCCGGCTGAGTAACTTGGTGTTCCTCCCACTGTTAGTGGGAGCGCGGCTGACTCTGCTGCCTGCTGTGTGGCCTTCTCTTCCTCCTGGGTTGCCTCACCCAGCCTTGATGTGATGCGAGCTGCTATGTGCCTGCTCATATTGTAGCTTGATATCTGTGTCTGGTGGACATCCCTGGGAGGCCTGCTCTTTTCTGAGGGGAGGAAGAGGGGAGGGATCTGGGGAAGAGGGGAGGTAGTGGGGAGAAACTGGGGAGAGGGGAGGGAGGGGAAACTGCAGACGGGATGTAATGTATGAGAGAAGAATTAAAAAATAAATAAAAAATCACAAATTTTCAGTAGGAATAATTTCATCTTTTAAAATAAGATTTATATTGTGTTTATGTGTACATATGTTCATGTACACAGGCATGTGTACAAACCCACAGAGGCCAGAAGAGGGTGCCATTATAGGTGGTTGTGGTGGGTGCTTGAGACCAAACTATGGTCCTCTGCAAGAATAGTATTACTCTTTTTTTTGTTTGTTTGTTTTTGTTTTTTGGTTTTTTTTTTTTGGTTTTTTGAGACAGGGTTTCTCTGTGTAGTTTTGGTGCCTGTCCTGGATCTCACTCTGTAGACCAGGCTGGCCTCGAACTCAAAGAGATCAGCCTGACTCTGCCTCCTGAGTGCTGGGATTAAAGGTGTGCGCTGCTGCTGCTGCTGCCGCCGCCGCCGCCGCCGCCGCCGCCACCACCACCACCACCACCAACAACAACAACAACAACCACCACCACCACCTGGCGTACTTTTTTTTTAAGATTTATTTATTTTATGTATATGAGTGCTATATCTGCATGTTGGAAGAGGGCATCAGATCCCAGATAGTTGTGAGCCACCATGTGGTTGCTGGGAATTAACTCAAAACCTCTGGAAGAGCAGCCAGTGTCCTTAACTGCTAAACCAGCTCTCCAGCCTCATAATTTCATCTTTCTGAATTGTCACTCACTTTGAACAAGTTGGCAACCAGTCACCTTTTCCCTGGAGCAGTGCTGGTTAGCAGCCTTGTACCGTGTGTGCACCAGGAGTAGTTCTGTATGGAACTCTTGGATACAATATTTGGGCAGATTTCTAGTTAATCTTTTTCCTCTTGGGGATACCTCCCCATTCCTATCCCATTCAGCTAATGTTGCATGACATTTCCCAAAGGCATGCTGCATCCCACACACTCTGTTGAGCTCTGTATTTATATCATTTAACTTTCTTATAAGGATGACTCTCTACCTTTGCCTCTTTTATTTCAGAGACCAGAACACTGAGGTTAGTGACTTTCCTCTGAGCAGGGATGGAAACCGAGGCCTCACCGGTCCCAGCACCTGGGTTGTGTTACCATCTCTGGTATACACATGGTTCAAACACTTGGTCCTTGGGCGTGGTGGTGAATGACATCGATCTTGGCACTTTGGAGGCAGGGGCAGTTCTCACAAATTTGAGGAGAACCTGGGCTACATAGCAAGACCTTGCCTTAAAAAAAATAGAATGTCTGTTACTTAGAAGGGATTTTTTAATTCATCCATTCACTCAACCAGTAAAATTTTAAAGTTTGTAGGTGAGTGTGTGTGATGGTGTATGCGTGTGGTATATGCGCCCAGGAGTGTGTGATATTACACACGCACACGGAGAGGCCGACTGAGGGTGTGAGTTGTCTTGCTGTACATCCCACCTTACCCCATTGACACAACCTGACCTCTGCTGGCAGACAGAAAGCTCCAGAGACACACACAGCCATGCCCAGCTGTTACATGTGTGCGAAGGATTTGAACCTAGGTCCTTGTGCCTGCTCAGCAAGTGTTCTTGCCCACTGAGCCATCCCCCCAGCCTCTAATCTGAAAATCTGTTTGCGTGTTTGTTTGTTTGTTTGCTTATGAGACGTGCAGAGTGCGGCCCTGGCTGGCCTACTGCTTGCTTTTTAGCCCAGGCTGGCCTGGAACTCATGTAGTCCTCCTGCCTCATCCTTTCAAGTACTGAAATTATAGGCATGTGTGAGCAGGAAATATTTATTGAGGGCGTCTTGTGTGTTGAAGACAAGGGGAACAGGAAAGTGAGCGAATTGGGAAAGTCCTTGTCCTGTGAGCAGGGAGGTGTGGTGGACAATGACGGTGGAGAGAAGGAAGAAGACAGCATTTCTAAGGTGACTGCTGACATGCATGTAATCATCAGCAGGTGACAAGAGCTGGCTGTCTGTGCGGTGGGATGGGGGGGTGCATTAGCCATGGCGTCGTCCCTGAACTCTGTGAGACAGCTGCATAAAGTGGAAGGGCATGGGCTGGGGGGACGGCTCAGTGGGGAAAGGGCTTGATGCCCAAGCATGAGGACCTGAGTTCGGATCCCCAGCCCCGAGTAAAAGCCGCTATAGTGACATGTGCCGGCAAACCTGTGCTGGAGCAGACCGCAGACCGCAGACCGCGAGCTCGCTGGCCAGCCAATGCAGCCAAACAGGCTCAGTGTCTCAAAAGGAAAGCGATCGGGAGGACACGTGATGTCCACTTCTGTTCCCCAGAATACATATACAGGCATGTGCACCTGCACACACATCACACAAACACACAAATACACACAGAGACACAAATTGGAAGGATTAGACGGTAATGAAAAGAGCATTATAGACAGAGGAAATAATTAGAAAAAAGAAAAATGGGACTGGAGGGTTGGATCAGGACTTAAGAATGTTTTCTGCCCTTCCAGAGATGTTCAGTTCTCGGTATTCACATCAGACAGCACACAGCTGCCTGTAACTCCAGCTGGCCCCTGAGGCCACCTGCACACAGCTGCCTGTAACTCCA